ATAAATATTTCTAAATACATTCTTTTACCATAATTTAGTAATGACTTTGTAGATTGATTTATGGTTAGTTTTGGATTGACTATTGCGAGTTATTTCTAATTTAACTTTGTAATTTGATTCGTTTAAGTTTGAATATTGGATTTATGATTGATTTTGGATTTAATTTTGGAATATTAAAATTTGAACCTTTTTTCCGGTTAGACCCGGATCCGACCCGTATAATGTGCAATGAATTGTTCTACAGGACTTATTTTTTTACCAACTAAAATGAAAGTTATTGCGAGAATCTTCATACTTTTTTTTTTTTTTTTTTTGTTTTTGCCTATAGCTTTTACTTGAGCCCCTAATTTTTTTTTCTTTTGTCCAATTTCTTCTTTTCATCAGCATTCACTCCACTGGGAAACTTATGAATTTAAGTTTTAGAATTTTGCACTGCGAGCCATCTATCAATGTGGAGTTTTACCCTATTGACAGAATAAAGATGTGATTAGATTTCAAATTGCTAGGTAATTAAATTACAAATATTTCAGAAAGGGAAGCAGGTGCTACAAGAAGAACAGGATGATATATAATAACCGAAAACATCATTCAAATTGTTTTTTTTTTAAAAAAGGTAAACTTTCTCCCTTTTTACACGCTTAGTCCTTATAGTTTCATATATTTGTATCTCAATCATCGTTTCTTACAAGATATGCATCCATTTGATCCTTATCCATCCATCCATCCTTTTTTTTTAATAGCCTATAGTACGCTAGAAAAGAAAAGAATAGAAATATTCCTTCTAGATATGTATACACAAAAGATTGTGGTGACTTTTGCAGTAAATGCTCAATCGTGGGCAGTGTCTTGACTTGATCGTGGTACTACTATCTGACACAATTTACATTTATGAGTTCTCATTCTTTGATTTGTCACAAGGAAAGTTAATTATCATCATTTTTCGACGAAGGAATATACTCTGCATTGCATGGGGATAAAGCAGGTTGAATGAATGTGAGATTCAAGATACAAGGAATTGCAACAACTAATGTAGCAAAAAGCCAGAAAAGGTATAAGATCTTAAGCTTCTGAAATTTACCCTTAACAAGATGGAAATGTAATCTTGGAATTTATGACATACTCAAATTGAAATGTGAAAGGCCCATGGCCCACTAGAAATTACGCGGCCCAATGGATGCGGCACGGCAGTTATTCCTGGGAGTTCCAGGATCCCCTTCACTTCACCACGTTCCAGGCAAGTCCGACCGAGCTGCCATATATATATATATATATAGAAAAGGAAATCTGCAATCGCTGCCTAAGAGTAGGGGTGTACGCGAGCCAAGCTACTCGCGAGCTACTCGCGAGTAGCTTGGTTAACGACTTGGCTTGAACTCGGGTTGACCGAGTTCGAGCCGAGTTTCGAGTAGCTCGAATGAAAATCGAGTCGAGTTTCGAGTCAAAAATCCCCCGCTCGAGGCTCGTCGAGCTACTCGTCGAGCCGGGGTTATTTAAATAATATATTTATAAGTTAAATAATATATATGTATTATAATTATAAAATGATCATTATGGGTATAAGTTATATGGAATTTACAAAATACCCTTCGTTATCGAGCCTTATCGAGTCGAGTTTCGAGCTTAGAGCGAGTACATCGAGTCGAGTTTCGAGTATCAATTTTTTTGACTCGATCGAGCTCGAGCCGAGCTCGAGCTTAGGGATATATGAGTCGAATCGAGCTCGAGTATAGCCTCACTTCCATGCTCTTTTAATCACTTTTCTTTCCACATTTCTCAATCCATATTTTTCACTATGTTTTACTCATCTTACTCCACAAGTAGAATTCAAGTTTCATATATATTTATAATCCTATCTTCATTCATTTGCACACACTAATACTTTGATTTTTCATCCAAATTCACACGTGCACTTTCCTTACATACTCACACGCTAATACTTTGATTTTTCATCCAAATTCACACGTGCACTTTCTTTACACATGCGCACACAAACACTTTGTTTTTTTACACCATTTCATACATGAATCTTTTCATACACTTGCACACTTGCACTTGAGTCACCATTTGCATCAATCGACCTCTATGAGGTTTCCCTTTATTGGCCACCACAATTCATGTGGTTTGGGACCAAAAACCTCACAAGAGACATCGTAGAATTTAGGATTGCATTTTTTCATTTTTGCATTCATATAGGCATAATTCAACATGCAAAACATACCCTGGGTAGAAAGTCAGGAAAGTTAGGGTTAAGTTACGCAACTAGCCTTGGCTAGGTCAAAGGGGTGCCTTGGAGTCTATCCTTGCCTTCCCCTTTGTCAAACGTGACTTCCGAACCTTTTTCTTTGTTTTACGTAGACTAGGAGTCGTTTTAAAAAGGGTTCATTACTGCTTAACTCATTTTTAGGTGACTTGGTACACCTTAAATTATTACCAAGTGGCGACTCCAAACTTTTCATTTAAAAACCCTTTTTAAAACTATTTTTTGGGTCAAATCGTCGCATTCTCAAACCCCCATTTAGGCCCACTTTTCTTTTAAATCACAATTCATTTTTTTCAATCACAAAAAATACATTTTTTAAACCATTTATTTATTTATCAAAAAATGGGGCGCGACAAGCACTCGTGACCAAGGATCTAGTTTCCTGCTAGAGCTGAGTAGTGCTCGTGGTTAGGCAAAAGTCTCTTGAATTGGAGGACGAAAGTTGAGGCTTTGGTTGCCATGGTTGCTGAAATCCTGGTGGACGATTTGGGAATGAATTTTGTGGCCTGTTCCTATAGCTGAAATTGGGGTGATCTCTCCAACCTAGATTGTACGTGTTGGAGTATGGATCGTACTGCCTACGAGGCACGGGCACGCCTCCGGCCATGTTTACTTGTTCAGCCCCATCCTTTTGCAATATGGGCATGAGTCAGTGGGGTGGCCCACGTTTGTGCAGATTTCACAGACCTTTGCTTGGTGCACGTTCCCCACAACTAATTGCCAAATAAAAGATGTTAGCTCCGACAGCTATTACTGAATGGATGTTGTCTCTATCTCATTGACCCTATGGATAGGGTTACTCTCACGGAAGCCAAACTGTTGAGAGTTCTCTGCCATTGCGTCAATAAGCAACCATGTTTCTCTCGATGTTTTGTTCGCCAATGCTCCTCCACTCACAGCATCAATGATACTTTTGTCAGATGACTGAAGTCCCACATAGAAGTATTGGATCAATAGTTGTTCACTAATTTGATACTGTGGGCATCTAGTGCACAACTTATTGAATCTCTCCCAATAGTCATATAGGGATTTTTCAGGATACTACTCAATACTGCATATCTCTTTTCTCAGACTTGCAGCCCGAGATGCAGGGAAGAATTTTTCAATTTTTTTTTCAATTAGGCCCATGTTGTGATACTACCCGCAGGTAAATAGTATAACCAATCCTTTGCTGCATCCTTGAAGGAGAAAGGGAAAGCTCTAAGTTTGATGTGCTTCTCAGTAATTCCTGGGAGTTTCATACTGGAACATACCACATCGAACTCCTAAATGTGTTTATGGGGTTTCTCCCCGAAAGACGATGGAATGAGTGTAAGAGGTGAATTAATCCGACTTCAGTTCGAAGGAGGTATTCTCTATTAGAGTTGGAAATGTAATGCACAAAGGCTGCTGGGGCAATTCTGGAGCAACCAACTCCCTTAATGTTCGTGCATTTGCCATAGGGATGTCCTCTTGACCTGGATCACTTGAATTATCACCACTCGAATCTGTTGATTCAACCTCAGGATCTAGTCCCTGAGATGCAGTGCTAGATTGCTTTTCTCTGAGCTGGTTAGTCTCTTTCCTAGTTCGGCGCGCAGTCTTCTCTACTTTCGGATCGAAAAACAACTCGCCTGTACGAGAAGAACAAGACATAAACTAGAAAAATGCTAGACAGATCCAAATAAAATAATTTAGAAAGAAACAAAATTAACCAAAATACCGTTCTCCTACAATAGCGTCAAAAATTGACAGGTGTCGAGTCTGTGTAATAATAATTAATAAAAGGTCTAAGTTACCACCACAATTAATTATAGAACAAATTCGAATATTTGAGTAAGAACCCTAGGTGTGTAATGGATTACTTGATTCACCCTATTTTCGAAGAGTTTGCTTAATCTGATATACCAAAATTATCTATAAAAATATTAAATTTGCATACAATGTCAAGTAGGATCGATTCCATAGGGAACGGATAGAAAGTTGTTTCTTTCCAAGTCAATAAAATAAAATTTGGGGATATTTAATGGAATGAAAATAAAAACAAAATAAACAAAATTCAAAAGCTAATTCAACAAGTACAATTTACGAAAAAAATGACAATTAATAAAATTCTATCCAAAGGATCAACTTTTCAGGCACGGTCTAATTAAATGATCATCGATGCACAGATATTTCATTCATCCGTCACTAGGTTGGTTATAACTATCTACAAGTTCTGACAACCAATTCATCCTTACTTTTCCGACAGTCAAGGTATGACCATTAACTGATTCTCTAACCAGAAAACAACCCTAAGTACGACCGTAGAAATTTAATTATCCAATTGCATTAAATCTAGAAGAACCCAACCCTAACCAATAAAAACGCTAAGAGGGTTTATTTAAATTAGATCTTACGTTTTCCCAACATACAGCAATTACGGTGGTTGCCACTAGTTGTCAACTAAACGAACAATTACGGATTCAATTTAATTAACGTGGCAGTAGGCTATTAGATTAAATTAAATATCCGGCCGTTGATACTCAATTAATAAAATACCCCTTAACAATTAATTCAGGAAACGCACGAATAATAACTAATCGGAAGAAATAATGAAAATTTGATTAGATCTCACAAATGTTATGGATCACGCTTTCGCGTCGGCCTTTGGGTGGAGGAGAAATCTAGCCACTCCTCATCAAATCAATCTCGGGTGATTTGATTGATTCCATCCACACAAACATCAAAGAATTAGGAGCGATGAAGTAACGAAGAAAGCAAAAGAAAAAGTCTTGATTGTCTCTGATTTTTTTCCTTTTTGTTCGTACTGAAGCAAAGTCAAGAAAAGCGATAGTCTAATAGAAATTGTACAAAAGCCAAAGCAGCGAGTAAATTCGTCTTACAGGGAAAGCAAACTAAAGCTAATCTAATAAGCCCGCGTGATTTTGGCTTTTCCGCTGTTCGCCGCCGAAAAGAAAAGAAAACGTCTGATCGAAGAAAAGAAACTACAAGCTAATCTCTTAATGTTGCGTGAATCTGGCTTTCTTCCCTTTTGTAGCCCCCGCCAGTTGAAGCAAAGAAACGTCGGGGAGCAAGACTTTGTCTAGGAGTTTTAATCCCATGCATCTCCGCGGTTCACTTTTTTTTCTGACACTATGGGTATCTGGGACCACCCGACTAATCCCACAGCGCCCAGACAGAGCGGGCCGGATCGATACCTAGAACGTAAACAATTAGATTGCGGACTGGAATCGAACTCAGGCAGACTTGGAGTAATGACCCCACCTCCATCATCCGAACAACCCAGCACAGGCCATCTCCCCGGTTCACGTCGACTTGATTTTCTAATTGACCCTGCTGCTACCAATCCCGCGAGTCCTGCTTTTGGGTATCCTTCTACAGTTTCTAACGTGGGCACGCCCTGAGATGAAAAGTCTTCTGGAAATTCTCTTCAAGATACCACTTTTAACATCAATCGCCTACAATTTACACAAATATCAAATATGAGCAAAATTTTAATACTTAACACAGTAAGTAACCAAAATTAGGACCAAATAACATCGCAAATGGTGCCCAACAATTGCTCCATCAATCAAAAATCTGCTTCCAGTTTTTTCATTTGGAAATGATTGTTTCAAAGCATTCCAAACGTGAGTGTCCCACACGTCATCCATAACTATCAAGTACCTCTTTCTCATCAAGTGCTGGTGCAACTTCAAGTCCATATCCTCATCAGCCATTTGATATACATCATCAGTAAGTTCACCACTGTTGCTTAAAATGTCAACTAGTAACTCCCTCTTTGCATGTCCTTGCGAAACGGAACACCATCCACAAGCATAGAAGTGAAGTGTAACTTTGGGATCGTTGTACAATTTCTTGGCTAGGGTAGTCATACCTGGCATGCCAACAATGGAGACAATATCTCGCTGTGGGGATCCTCTGGTCAGTTGATCAATTATAGTCTCTTCCTCATCGCTGAGAGATACCACTTGCTCACCAGTTCCAGCTTCTGGTATGCTGACTGGTGATTTCATATGGCTAGAATTCTGGGAGACAATGTGGTCTCTGGCATCAAAAGTCTTCTCCTCATAAATTTTGGTGGTCTACATCTTAATGAGTCTTATCTCTTCGAGAACCTCATCAAGCCACAATACATGCTGCCAATGGCTACCAATTCCAACCTCAATCGAGTCAATGATAAATTCAGCCTCATATGCCGCATTTGTAACATCTGTAACGGGATCCATTTGGTCTAGATGCTCGTTGTCCAGCTTATTGAGAAAAGATCTCAAAAACTCCTAATTGGATAAAATATTTTCAATATGATGCTTCACCAGTGCAATAGAATCTAGGTCATGTTTGAGAAGCTCCCATAGATTTACTAAGAGATAATCAACAAAGCCCAATCCATTAGTCTTGGGGAAATTATGCCTTGGATATTTGGGGCAGGACCCTCTAAGTTCTGCTTGATCATTGCCATCCCTTGTAGCAAATCAGAAAATGAAAGATTCATTTTGTCAACCTTCTCCTCTGTTTTTTGTTGACAAGAAATGAGTAACAGAAAGATGTAATCCTCCTAGCATTTGCTTCGACTTGTGTGAAGATCAATTCAACATTCCCTTCATTTTCTCTGGCTGATTAGTGACAAAAGCTGAACACAACCTCAGCCCTCGAGTAGCGTTTCAATCTGATCTTTTCAAGGCTCATCAAACTTGGATCACTATTCAGTAATTCCATATAAGATATATCTGCCTTTGAATAGCAAAAATCTTTAGGAGCAACATTAAATAGTGAAATCCTTACCTTGTCTTATGTAATCTTCTTGTCACGAAAGGATTGTTCAGGATACTACCTCTTTGGCACTTCTTCGATAGCACAGTATAGGTTCTGGTTTGCCCATGTTCCATCGCTCCTCGGGTTGATCTTTGGAATATTTTGAGGCCCTGCACATCTCGTTAAGGTCCTCAGCTCGGCTCTTTGAAGAAATTGTGCAACTTTTCAGTTGCTGCTTAAGGAAAACCTCTGCCTTGAGAAGAGAATCTTTGTATGCACTTGGGAGCTGAAGACTACCAAGTTGCATACGCCTAGAGAAGATGCTGCTAGGATAGCACAGCTTTAATTTCTTCCGAAATGCTTTGTCCATCCGGACTTGATTCATCTGGTTCATTGATGACGAAGATTACAAGTTGTTTTAGCTCACCTGAAAGATGATTGGGCTCTCCAACATTGAGGGACTCTGGAGAAAGAATTGCTAAACCATCAGCCAGGCTGCGGTTTAATTCTGATGAGTGCTTTCAGAAGTTGAGATTCAACTCTAGGATCTCTGGAGTAGTCGGATGAATCTCACACTGCAGATCCAGAAGTTGGATAATCTTACTTTTGGCTAGGGCCGGGTCCCCCTTTCTGTTGATCCAGTAATGAAAAGACTCATTTGCAATGCGTACAGCAAGAGATGCAATATGAGTGTTGAAGCTGGAAATCATTTGATCACTAGGGACGTCAGAGTTCAACTAACGGAGTGCATCTTTAAGAAACTTATGAGAGGCAATAAAAGGTCATTTCTGAAGGCCTTTGATTTGTGCTCTTTAATCATCGTTCTCATCAACTTTTTGATCACACCCTCGCGTTCAGCAAAATCTCTTTCAGATCTCCGAGATAGATACCAGAAACTGGCTGCAAAAGGAATGAGAAAGCAAGGGAAGCTTCCACTCCAATGAGCAGTGCGACAAAAGGTCGAGAGCTTGTCCAGTTTCTTGCTTGCAAAGATCAATCTTCCTTTCCCAGTCACAAAACACGTCAATAGTTCCAGAAGCAAACTCTTTCGTGAAACAAATTTGTCATCGCAAAGAATTTCAATCTTCTATATTATCTCGCTGAAAGCTGCCTTAATTGTGTGAGGAGAGATCCCAAATCTGGCACAACTTTATCTGCATTGCTGTACTTCTGAACATAAATCAGCAGCTATTTAAGATGGTTCTAGTAAGTTGATTCGTACCGTAGGCGAGCCAGTTTAAGTTCCAGTGCCTGGTGTTTGTGTTTGAGTCTGAGCTCAACAGTCGCTTCACTCAGCCAATACTATGTATACACATCATCTAGTTTGTCAATCAATCCTCTATGGCAGAATTAAAGTTATGAAGAATCAGAAAGGGATGCCATCTTTGTTGGCAACACAACCATGGTTCGAAGTCTCGGTCGAGTCGTCACCGTCTCGACCCCTACCGATCGTACCGTGACGATACCGAAATATTTGACTCGTCGAGAATCGGCCGAGTCGTCACCACGACTGATTGACTCGGCCGAGTCACACCGAGTTACTCTGAGTTATCCCGAGTCAAGACGAGAAATCAGCCGAGTCACACCGCGACGGATTGACTTGGCCATTTCTTTTGTTATTTTTTAATTATTTTTATTTAGCCTACTTTTTTTATTATTAACATTTTTAGAATATTAAATACTTTAAAATTTGCGTTTCACCGAGACCGTGATATGCCGAGACCGATGTGGAACGTTCCGGGCCGCGCCCGCGACCGCGACCGTGACTTTAAGCCATGAACACAACCTCTCTGAAGATCCATTCAAATCTCAGGAAGCAAGACACAGAGTAACTGTTCTAGAGCACCCTATTCTGCAAGGTACTACGGTTGTTTTCTTCAAAAAAATATGTTAGCATGAAACCACATTCAGGTTTAGGAAGAAATCAACGTCAAAGCATTAGCAATCATGTTTCATGCCAAAGCACTACTATTTTTTTAATATTTCAAAAAGTAAGTTTGTATCAAAAGTTAAAGGGAAAGGAAATTCCAACTTTATTCAAAAAAGTTAACTAGGCTGTTAAGTTATTCCAACAAATTTATGCAGCTTCAAAAAGTTGATGTTTCCATTAACACGAAAATCAAAAGCAGAAGATTAAATTGGAGTTATACTTATCATCAAAGACTAGACCTTTATTATGGAAAAGATTAATTTAAATAATCATGTGGGACTTTCACCTTTCAGTGGCAAACGAGAAATTAAATTCATATGATGCCATGCCCTAAACTGTTTGTGTTACACTTGCCAGGCGAAAGTCTATTTGCATTTACTTTTACCAGTTTGTCATGGGTCTCTTTCTTTTTGTCCCTTTGGATCAATTACAAAAAAGTACCTCTTTGTTATATTAATTTCTTTGTTGGTCCACTTCTTTTCTATCATGGAAGAAAAATGTGCAAATAATTGCGTTAATTTTCGTCCGACCCAATATCCAGGTGCCAATCATAACATAATTTTGTTGACCCGTTTAAACTTGCCCACCACTAATCTTGAATGGGTCTAAATGTGTATTTAAGTAAACTCATTTAGTTGGTGGGTAGTGAGTTAATTTGCTCACTTATTATACCCATTTAAAAAATAATTATATATTTAAACTCAACTTTTAATAAGTATTAAGTAAATAAATTTTGATTTTTTATCAATTTAATACAATAAATACCGTTATCTCTTGTCAAACAACATGGAAACAAATTTTAAAAAATAAGTAGAATTTTAAGAGACTCATTATGGGTAATTAGGTATATCCTTATTCATTTATTAAAAATGTATAATTGGTTTGACCTACTTATATCCATTATCCGATTATGACCGACTCAAACCCATTTCACCCATTTTGACAACTCAACAGCAATAAATCAAATTTTGTGTTACATAATCAAAATTTGTCAAATCGTTAATTCTATAAATCGTAATAGTATCACACAACAATGTTAGATGAATTTAAGCTAAAATTCCGTTTCGGAGCAATTTAGGGTGGAGAAGTCAATAATAAATGCGTCCATTTCTTCTCTTCAAAGCCCATTCTCTTGTCTGCGACTTTTTTCCCCCTAATTTTTTCAAGTTTTGGGGTTTTTTTTTTTGGCCTATTTCACGATGGAGTCCATCGCATCAATCGAATGCAAGAGTTTTTCAGTATTTCGCCATTACCTCTAAGTCCATTGATTTAAATTTATTATGAATATGACACAATTATTTCTTAGTTCCAACCAAGAATATCAACATAAGCCAACCTCAACATAAATTTCAACATAAACTTGCAGCAATGAATAGGCTGCAGATAAATTAAATCTTACTATGAGCTGATAATTAATAAAAACAAAAAGTTATAGAAGTACTTCCATTTTACTGAAAGCTTCTTGCAAAATGCAAATATCAGCTCACGACTAAAACAGACTGAGCTTTGAGATTCATGATCTTATGGTAAGTGAGGGAATCCACGTCCATGTCTTCCCAAAAATCTTACATATGTATTTACATCTTCACCTGATTGAAAATGAAATCTTTCTTCTAATTATCTGGTCAAAATTTTTCTCAAAATCACTTACCCTGAAAACTATAAAAACTTTTATACTAATAGTTTTAAGAATTTTCTATTTTTTCTAAAACCTAAGACTATTTATAATAGGGTAAAATACACTAAACCCCTTGTGATTTGGGTTATCATCATAAAACCTCCTCATTGTTAAAAACCCCCAAAGTACCCCCTCATAGTTTGGATTAATTTGGGCAATGAACGAAAATCGTCTAATTTGACGGAAAATATGAAATTTCTATATTAACCTTGTTTCAAAACTTATCATCTTCTCCAAATCTCCATTTTTTCCTTCGACAACAATAGAACAGCTACCAATTACCACAGCCACCATTCAACTAAAAACCCATTCTCCTTCAACTCGGCCTTCGTCACCGCATCCACCTCAATCGAGCCCATGTCCACTGGCATCACAGTCGATAATAGCCCTCCCAAACCATTATCTGAACCTAGAGTCGCAAGCTGCAGCAGAAGTAGAAGCAGAAGCTGAAGTTGCCTCCATTGAGTCCATTTCCAAGTTCCGAATTGCACTAGTCCAGCCCTCGGAAATTAGTCCGACCCGATCCAATTGCTAACAGAAATCTTAATTGTTCCGCAAAAGAGCTCAAAAAAAGAAGGAAACGATTTTGCAAGAAATACTTTAAAGAAAAAGAGGACTTTTTTTTTCCAGTGCTACGTAGAAAGAAAGTACAAATTTAAAAGCAGAAAAAGTACTCAAAAAGCTTTCCAATGGCAGAGAGAATTTTGGAAGAAAAACCAGAGAAACTTTCCTGGCTTCCTTTTCTCCCTCTACCCTCATAATATTTTTTTTTTGTTTGCTGGGTTTGTGGAAAATGGGTTTTTGTTTCTTGTTCTCTCACCCAGAAAGATTGCAAAATGCCAACGGCGCAAAAGAGTCTTTTGATGCTTTTGCCAGATCCTTTAAACAATCCATTGAAACTTTGAGGCGGTCGCAGTTAATGGATCTCTATGGCTGAAATCACTTTCCATTCTTTTCATTCCATTCCGTTGAGCTCCCTTGAATCACAATCCATCTGTATTTGTTCCAAGCCCGCACCGCCTTCAATGCCATATTACTCTTTGCTCAGCCTACCAATTGATTACATCCCAAACCATCTGGTATAACCGGAGGAGGAGGATTTGTCCCGCACAACAGCCCCGAGTTTACAACTAAATTCATCTGGTACAATGATGGAAGTGTACAAATCAATCTATCAATGGTAATTTTTGCTGCTTCAATTGCCATGGTCACCACCGTCATCGTCATCTTCAACATCATTGCGTCTTAGATTTCATCTAAATTCATGTAATTTCTACTCCAGATCGTTCAGGAAAAAGAAAAAAAGGGAGAACAAGGAAAAAAAGAAAAGAAAATAAAATAAAACGTAAAATTATCACATTACCTTTGATGTATTATTATCACACTCGCTTGTCAAGTGTGTGTAATTCACTTCCCGTCAAATTAAACGATTTCCGTTCATTGTCCAAATTAATCCAAACTATGAGGGGGTACTTTGGGGGTTTTAAACAATGAGGAGGTTTTATGATAATAACCCAAACCACAAGGGGGTTTAGTGTATTTTACCCTTTATAATATAATCCTAGATATATATCCAAAATACAACATAATACGGAAAATTCTTCTCCTGAGGTTTTATCTGTTTTGAGAAGTACTGAATTAATGCATTAAAGCTTTGACTATTTTGGTGTCATCTCCTATAATGTTCTATATATTATCAAGTAAGCATTGGGAAGTAAGATTTAACCAAATGTCAAGTTTTTGCCAAAATTACAACAAATAAAGTTGAAGTAAGATTTGACCAAATGTCAAGCTTTTGCCAAAATCAACTTTTTTAAATAGATAGTGTGCTAGACTATTTACCTAACCATTTTTAAATAGACAGTGTGCTTAGACTATTTAGCTTTAATATGTTCCAATGCCACTTGATAAACATTTGCTGCTATTATATTACTAAATTTTTCCATCTCTAGCTACTTATTTGTTTCTCATCGGCTTTATTATAGAATTTTACTATAACTCCACAATTTGTTCTAATAGTTGTCTAACTCAATATGTTCAAGAGCATATAAGCCAAGTAAATTTTATGAAAATATATCTATAGTTTTCTTCCTTAACTCCAATTTTTTCCTTCTTTAACTCCAGTTTTTTCTTCCCGCTTATCTTATAAAATAGTAAGCATATAATAGTCTTATCCCTTAAATAGGCATAATTGATTTTAATCATATCCTTAATTCATCGTAATAGATATCTTGAATAGGCATAATTGACTTTAATCATATTCCTAATTCATTGTAATAGATTCTTGAAAATTAAGGGAAAAAAAGCAACAAATTAGGATGAAATTTTATATAATACAACGTGAAATTTGAAGACAATCCAAGCTTTGGTTGTATGTCCTTGAACTCGATATTTTAACAAGCCAAGCCAAATTTTTCGTGAACATACATCTGAAATTTCAAACCAAGTTCCATCAATTTCTTTCAAAAATTATCAAACACAAGCCAAATTCAAACAGTTTTTTTTAAAATGTTCAAACAAATCCTGAACATACCTTTATCTGGCTCATTGAGCCTTATTTTCAGCCCTATTTATTTCTGTTTATTTGGTATGTTTTGTTTGCAGATTATATTTCATTTTCAATTATTAGGAGTATGTACCCTAACTTCTGGATTTTATACGTGCAAAAATGGCATTCACTTGCTTCTGATTGCACTCATGACACAGCATGTTACAATGGAGCAATGCTTGAAGTGCTTGTGAAAGATACAGTGTTACGTGCTTTGTCCCAATCACTTAGTCTATGTGACATGGATTTTGACCAAACTAGTTGATAAGTAAGGATAGTTGAAGTGACGATGGATGACTTCTCACATGCTCCTACACAATCTATTCCTAAATATTTTACATTTGGAGTCCCGGACCTTTGGCTGTTGAACTTTGGCTGAGGATGGTATCATTTCCTGGAAATTGCAAAATTAAATTACTATATCTTACATCTCTTTCATTCTTTTCATTTAGTCTAGTAGTATCATAGGTTTTTAGTTATGAAAAATCCTACTTTAAATAACATACGACTTATACGACAGACACAAGATGATTCACCTCTTGATTTATAGGAGTTTTCATATATTTGTGTCTATCGCTTTGCAAATCGTATTTTTAAAGTCAGTTGAACTCTTTAGTTATTTTATAGTAATAAGCCATGTATGTTAATAGTTAATTTTGTTTGAAGTTATTGTACTACTAATTTGGAAAACAAACCTAGCTTTCCATTAATTTTTAGTAGATTTTAAACAGAGCACTTTCAATTAACAGAGCACATTTTAAATAGCGCACATTTAATTAGCATCCAATATAAAGCTTCACTATTAGTCCATTATCTTCAAATAAGAAAAAAAAATGCATAATTAAACCAATATATAAAGTGTATTAGTTAATTAATTATGGAGGTGACGACAATGCAAGGTTATCACTGATGTGTTGGCTACTTTGAATCAAGTGTGACAATTTCCTATGTTGTGGCTAAAGAACCCCATTCTGTGATGATTTTTTTTCATTATTGAGATATGTTGTTACTAATGACCAAATTTCTTATAGTGCTCAAAAACTATTTGTATTTTCCTTTTGTTAAGTGCTTGACTGAGCTATTGTCACTGACGACCAAATTTCTTATACTGCTCAAAAACTATTTGTATTTCCTTTAGTTTCGCCTGACTGAGCTATGTTAAGGTTGAATGTTGCTGAGTCGTCATTTGGAAATCGTGATTAAAAAATGCTAGAGTTCCTGAAAGCATAGGGAGCCTCAATTTTAAGTATCATTTTTAGAGATATTTTTGAGAGCATTTGTTAATTAAGGTACTTAAATATGGAGTTCCTGACTCTATTCCTGCATGTTATACATATGGAGTTCCTGACTCTTGCACATCTTATGTCTAGCGGCAATGAGATAACATCATAACATGTAGAAGCAGCACATAATGTCGATATAATTACAACAATTCTGATATTATCTTTGGGATCCAAAACTATTTTGACCAATTCATGCTATGTAAACTTTTTTCTTTTCTTTTTTTTTTAATTTTCTCATTGTATGTTTCAAAGTATAATTAGCGAACGAAACATTCTAAATTTCTTATGCTATTTGGTTGTATTAGTCTTTGTGGTTCGGTCTTTCACCCCATTTTAAACTCGGATCAGGCCGACCGATTCGACTAGTTGAATCGGGAACAGGAGACATGTCCAGTCCGAGTTTGTTCAAAAACTCGGGTGACAAAGACCCGGTCAATACCGGTCAAAACCCGGGTTTGACCGAAAACTTGGAACAACCGGAAAATCTGGTTCTTTTTGAGCATCCAATTTCTGCTATTTTTACCCAATTTTTTTTTCTAACATCGAATTTCTGCTATGTTTCTTCGAAAATTTTCAGCATGGATATCGATCCTTGAGTGCAAATTCGACGGCAACAGCAGTGGTATAGTCACATAAACTGAGTGAGCACAAAAGGAATCTGCTTTGACAAATAATATAAGCTGCAGGCATATACGTACCTTGGTGTTTTTCAAATGACCCCAAGTGTGCGAGCTAAGAGAGTCTTCCCCGTACCAGAAGGTCCATGGATTAGGAAACCTTTCACATGCTTGACACCATATCTGGGAAATTGAGGTTTCTTAGAAATTTTCAAGCCAATGACGTAATACATATACAGCTAACGTAACAAGTGTAAATTTACTTTCTGGCAACGCGTGGATGGTACATCTCGAGGCAATCATCCCAGGAACATCTCTTTAAATGATTCATCAGTACCAACACCCAGTGATTGAAAGTCGAATTCTTTCTGCCGAAAGATGCTGCTTGGTTCATGCTGGTTGAGTATCTGCATATAGCGGCAGCACAGCAAAGTAAAACTTGTTTATGATTCAAACAAAATTGATACAGATCTAGAACCTCTATTTGTATTTCATACTAAATCAATATCAACCTTTACTCTTCTAGGGTATGATGTCTTGAAAATCATGCATGTTTCAGCCGAGATCATCCCAAGCTGCATTCCATCCAATCCTTTTGCCCTTCTATAACACCTTGCATAACTTTGAAAACATACGGGTTCTTATTATACTCAAATTTTACCTGTTGCTCAATAGAAAGAACCTGCACATATTTAAGAGTAGAGTCAAACTACTAAATTCTTATTAAGATCAGGATGATGTAGCTGTAGCTATGTTTGGTCAGTTGACATTGATGAGCAAGTCTCAGAATGAGTATTGATGCTTCAACTCCCTACTCTAGTCAGATTGGCTCAATAAAAGCCAAAAATCCCTAATACAGAGTCTATGAGCATCCAATCTTGTACATTTCCTCACTGCCAACAAGTGATTAAACCATTGGCATTGTGATCATGCACTGCCTGCTGCTACTAATCCACTATATCTGGTTAGCCATATTATTGCAAACTTCAAAATTTGAACAATAAGGGAGTTAAAAAGTAATGCATACATAAATAAAAAATTATTTTGACAACTATGCTGCTCTTGCTGTTAATCATCGTCTAAGCCCCCACCTCTGAGACCAGCTTTTCTATATCTACATCAGGCAATTTCTTTATTGGGTATGAATGATCTAGAGGTGGAAGTTCTCATGGCCATCATATTATTGCCGATGATTTATTCTGCTTTCATCAAATATGGGTTACAAGACTTAAATTGTAAACTTTGTACACATAAATACTACTGGAGACTACAAAAATGCTGTTGAATGATACGCATGGATGGAAGCATTTTAGTAAAAATTTCTGACCACAATTGCAAGGGTCATAGGACTATCCAGCACATAGCAGCCACAGACAAGTAATATCTGAAATTACTGGAAAGAACATTACCAATCCATGGATGGCAGCTCTATTCTCTAAATCTGACATAAGCACCAGTTGTGGGCTCCAAACAAATTTAAGAGAAACTCATTTTTAACGGAAAAAAAGGGAAAAGGAATGGTGTTCATACCTGACCAACATTTATAGATCTTATATGGTCACACAGACTATCAGCATCCACCTGCCAAACAATATATTCCACACTCACCAGCCAGCTAATGCAAATTAAAATGATGCTGCAACTAAGGGCATAAAGCATAGACAGCAGAGTCAAATCACATTCACACAAGCTAATTCAGGCCACTAAATTGATATCTAATAAAATGAAAACAAGCATTAACAGTTTATGACAGATGGTGCTTAGAAAACATACAGATTCTTCTTTACTTCCCGGGTGGAGAGGTGTGACATCAAGGGTTAGTGTAGGGCTGCAACGAATCGAGCCGCTCGCGAGCGGCTCGAGTCAAGCTTGAGTCGAGCTCGAGCCAGCTCGAGTCAAACTCGAGCTCAAACTCGAGCTCAGAATATTAAGCTCGCTAGCTCGCGAGCTTGAGTATATATATATATTTTTTATTTTTATTTTATTTAATAATAAAATTACGTATATTATATTTTTTTTATTTTTTATTTTCATAGTGAAATTACGTATATATCCTTAATATTTATTATTTATTCAAAAAAATATTATTATTTTTTTTTTTTTAAAAATAAAAATTTTATTTTATTTTTTCGAGCTCGAGCTCGAAAATTGCCAGCTCGTCGAGCTCGAGCTTGGTAAAATTTAGTTGAGACTCGGCTCGATTAACTCAAAACTCGACTCGGCTCGACTCGTTTGCAGCCCTAGGTTAGTGAAGTGAAGTCGAAATTTTCAGGGGGTATAAACCTACAATTTAAACCAATGTAAAAATTTTAAAAGCGAAAAGATAACATCAGAAACCAAAGAACAAGTACAAACAAAAATTTACAAACGGCAAACCTGCTGATAGATATTTGCATGCCAGGATCAACATTTGCCATATTCCTTTGAACAGAATTCATCCCAATGTAACCCTTTGGAATGGATTTAAAGCTAGTGAACACTCAGTTAAGGCACAAGCATGTATATTTTAAGCTTAGCAGATCACAATATACGCTCTTAGACCAATATTTGGGATTTTTGGGGATGGGAAGCATTAACGTGCAAGAAATAGAGGACATGGGTACATATCTTAATATATGGAAGCTCAAAAGGATATTGGATTGACAGTACCAAATTGTCACTTAGGCGAGCCAAACGAGGAGGAGAAGGAAAATCTTTGAATCGGGAACAATCATCAGGTCTGAATTTGGCACTGTCCTTGGGGTTACAATAGGCATAGTTACTGAAGGAGCATCCAGAGTCCGGAATGTGTTTCACTATCATGGTCCATGCTTCTTCCATTTCTTCTGGCTACAATATTAGGAGATACTCTTGCAATCAAAGTGCAACCATACTCAATGTGCATGCTAAATACAATATGGGTGTTTGAAAAATAAAATGTAAAATGTATCAAAAACGAATCAAGGTTAAAGATTGTAGAGAACTAACAATGTAGACCTGAAACTATCCTAAAAATCCATGGCAGTAACTGGGTTTTGGAATTAACAAAAAAAAATAATAACGATAGTATTAGTAACCTACCTGAGTCACAAAATCCTTTGCTAAGATTAACAAACCTTAATGGAATTTACCAAATGTTTCAGAGTTCTGCTAACCTTATTCGCTGTTAAACCATACAGATTAGTCACAGAAAAAGGACATTATTACTCATCATAGGACTAAATATTAATCACAAATAGATTTACTGAGTATTTCAAGTTCGACAGCCATGCTGGTGAAAATGCTGACCATCCTATAATCTTCATTCACTTTCAGAACATTTATGTAGGAAACTGGGAAAAACTTCAGTAGTCCCTATAGATTAGAGGCCTTAATATCGAGGCATGTTTGTCTACTATGTAATGCGCATCTGACACTCTTGGCATTTAAGGATCATTATAAGACTTACAAAGATCAAATATAGTTTTGGATAAATTTGACCAGTTTGGAGATTCTAGAGGCATGAGTAAGACATAATCTATCTAAATGAAGAGTGCTTTTAGTAGTATTAAGTGAAAATGCAGTGCACTGGCTTCTCTTGATAAAAATAAGAAAGGCAAACCGTGAATGTCTTCCAACATGAGACCTTGCTCGGTTGAATGAGCATTAAAGCTACACGTACTGGCTTTCATGGATCAGCTTAATTATTACTGAAGACCTTTCTCACAAAAATGCTTCCTCCTAGCATTTAGACTCTCATACTAAACTCCTAAGGCCACACTTTCACGGCATTGAATTTAGGGAACTGCATCTTTTCGAATAAATTAGGACTACAAGTTGAAGACAAGAATTATAAACAAAAATTTATGAAGTAATGTACAAATTTTAACGCCTCTATCCTCCGGCAATAGCCACAAGAGTCATCATTTTAATAATTGCATTGGTTGTTAATGGACGATACAAATTTTCTTTCTCGTTTAAAGCAAATAGAAGACTTCGAAACCTGGGGAATCTAAGTCATGGTGGAAACATTTATTACTTAGTCAATATTCCTCCTCCACCTGAGACTGTTTCGCTAAGAATTAGTCATCCGAGCTGCATATCAAGCATGCACTTCTAGCAGGACACAAAAACCATCTAAAAGATTCATTACTCTAGAAAAGATGAGCATCATCCCACAGAAAACATTAATAATAATACTTGGTGAAGCAAGTTGGCGTGGGAGTAAATTCTTACCTGCTTTGCTTCCGGAAGAACCAAAGGTGGAGAGAGGAAGCTGCTGTCTCTTGAGAGAGAGTGGAGAGCAAAAGCCTTTTGCGGAGGTTTAAACTTAGCTTTCTTCTCCCAGCTGGACCACTGAATCGGGGAGTGGAGTAGCAAGGAAAAGAACGGCCTCCAGTCCAGTCCAGAATGCATGCCTGGGCAGGAGAGGGGAGACATTTATTTGATAGTGACGACATTAATTTTAGGACGTACGACTCTGTCTTTTTTAGCTACTTATAGGCCTGTTTGGAACCTCAGTTTTTTGGGAGTTTGTCTAAAACTTTACTGTAGTGCACTGTAGAAGTTTTGAAAAAATTTTGTAGAAATTTTTGTAAGGTGAAAAACTTTTTTGTAGAAGTTTTTGAAATGTTACTTTAGACGTTTTTTGGATTATTTTTAGAGGTATTTTAAAACATATTTTTGAATATTTATAATTTATAATTTTTATATTTTTAAACATTTATGCATTTATAATACATTTATAAATATTTTATATATTTATATAAAAATACATAAATGTATTATATTATATATAATACGTATATACATATATATAATTTATAATTTATAAATGTATATTAATATAAATGTATAAATTATAAATGAATATTATATAAATGTATAATTATAATTTATAAATGTATATGATGATTATGTATAAATGTATTTAATATAATACAAATATATAAATGTATTAATATTATGTATAAATGTATAATTAATATTGTTTATAATTTATAATTTTTATTGTTTAATTATTCATATGCATTTATGCATTTATAATACATTTATAAAATTTATAAATAAATATATTATATTTTATTATTAAAAATATATATTTATTTATTATATGTAATACATAATATACATATATTTATAAATGTATAATTAATATAAATGTATATATTATAAATGAATATTAATATAAATTTAAATTATAATTTATAAATATATATGATATTATGTATATATGTATAATAATAATATAATATAAATGTTTAATATTATGCATATAAATGTATAATATATTTATAAATTATATAATATGCATTTATAATAAATAAATATTTATATAGTTTATAATTAAAATATATGAATGTATTATATTATATATAATACATAATATAAATATATTTTCAAATGTAATAATTGTATATTATTATAAATGAATATTATATAAATATATAAATTATTATATTATAAATATATAAATATATAATATTATGTATAAATGTATTAATATAATTAATATAAATGTATAAATGTATTAGTATTATGTATAAATATATAATTAATATTGTGTGTTAATATTATGTATTAATGTATTATGTTATACATAATACATAATATAATTGTATATAAATATACATAAATATATATACATAAATGTGTAATATATATAATATGTATTATATATATTAAATGTATAATATATAATATTTATATAAAAGTATAATTACATATTTATATTAATATTAATTTATATGGTATATAATATTTATATAAATATATAAATATATTTTAAATAAAATAAAATATTTATAATATGTTTAAATAAATATATAATATATATAATAAATTTTTGAAAGATTTTGAGGTTACCGGCGGCGCCGGAATAGGTAACCGGCACCGGGAGAGGTGGTGGAGGCGGTGTCTGGTGTGGTGGGTTGGATGAGGGAGGAAGAAAATTTTTTGAGAAATTTTTTGAATATAGATTATTGAAGTGTGTAGGTAAAAAATTTTGAAAAATTTTTTGAGATTCTTGTAGCAAAAGTTATTAAAAAACTAGTAGCTAAAAAATTTGGTAAAAACTTGGCACCCTAGTTTTTTACCAAGTTTTTTGGCTACTAGTTTTTTAATAACTTTTGCTACAGGAATCTCAAAAAAATTTTCAAAATTTTTTACCTACACACTTCAAAAATCTATACACAAAAAATTTCTCAAAAACTTTTCTTCCTCCCTCACCCAACCCACCACACCAGACACCGCCTCCACCACCTCTCCCGGTGCCGATTACCTATTCCAGCGCCGCCAGTAACCTCAAAATCTTTCAAAAATTTAGTATATATATTATATATTTATAATATTATATATTTATATATTTATTTAAACATATCATAAATATTTTATTTTATTTAAAATATATTTTATATATTTATATAAATATTATATACCATATAAATTAATATTAATATAAATATGTAATTATACTTTTATATAAATATTATATATTATATATTTAATATATATAATACATATTATATATATTACACATTTATGTATATATATTTATGTATATTTATATACAATTATATTATGTATTATGCATAACATAATACATTATACATAATATTAACACACAATATTAATTATATATTTATACATAAAACTAATACATTTATACATTTATATTAACTATATTAATACATTTATACATAATATTATATATTTATATATTTATAATATATTAATTTATATATTTATATAATATTCATTTATAATAATATACAATTATTACATTTATAAATATATTCATATTATGTATTATATATAATATAATACATTTATATATTTTATATAACTATATAAATATATTTATTTATAAATGTATTATAAATGCATAAATATATATAAATATTTAAACAATAAAAATTATAAATTATAAACAATATTAAATATACATTTATACATAATATTAATACATTTATACATTTATATTAATTATATTAATACAGTTATACATAATCAACATATATATTTATAAATTATAATTTATACATTTATATAATATTCATTTATAATATATACATTTATATTAATTATACATTTATAAATATATGTATATTATGTATTATATATAATATAATACATTTATATATTTTTATAGAAATATATAAATATATTTATTTATAAATATTTATAAATGTATTATAAATGCATAAATGCATATAAATATTAAACAATAAAAATTATAAATTATAAACAATATTAATTATACATTTATACATAATATTAATACATTTATACATTTGTATTAATTATATTAATACATTTATACATAATCATCATATACATTTATAAATTATAATTTATACATTTATATAATATTTATTTATAATTTATACATTTATATTAATTATACATTTATAAATTTATAAATATATGTATATTACGTATTATATATAATATAATACATTTTGTATTTTTATATAAATATATAAAAATATTTATAAATGTATTATAAATGCATAAATGTTTAAAAATATAAAAATTATAAAATATTCAAAAATATGTTTTAAAAATACCTCTAAAAATAATCCAAAAAACGTCTACAGTAACATTTCAAAAACTTCTACAAAAAAGTTTTTCACCTTACAAAAATTTCTACAAAATTTTTTCAAAAACTTCTACAGTGCATTACAGTAAAGTTTTAGACAAACTCCCAAAAAACTGAGGTTCCAAACAGGCCTATAAGTAGCTAAATTTAATGGATTCCGTTTTAATCCCTCTCTTTTTCCTCTCTATTTGTTAAATTTCATCCCTAGAAAAATTGAAAGAAAGAAAAAAAAATCTCTGATGGACTGTTGGTAATATGCAACGAATGTCAATCGGCAGAACTTCATATTAGTTTTTGTCAATTCACAAACATCCTTGAAGATGTAATACATTGATCAAATTTCCCAGTTCCTAGGTTGAGATGAAATATTTAATCATTTTATTAGCATAGGTTTTCCGGCACAAACCAAACAAAAGAAAATTAAAAAGAGAGAGAGAGAGAGAGAGAGAGAGACAATCTTCAATTCCTAAGTTCCATGATTCGTGGAAAACCAAACAAAAGAAAATAAAAAAAAAAAGACATTCTTCAATTCCTTAAGTTTCCATCAATTAAACCGTATGGTAAATCACCGGTCCGTGGTCAGTCTCATAAACCAGACCAAACGTTAGTACTCCTGTCTCCTGATAAAACAAAACGGGGCAGCTCAAAAAATTGTCAAAAAGTCAAAACTTTAACGTTGGCTCTCTCAAAAATTCAAAAATATTCCTAAAATAAACCTCCCATCAACTCCACGTGGCCAAATCTCATCCGTCAAGGCAGCCATCGTCAGCCGGTCATTTAACCCATAGGGCTTAAAACTCCTCCCGTCCCGACTCCGCCCCTTCCACATTTGAATTCTCCGGACCGTTTTTTCCCCATTTTCTCTGTCTAAAACCCTTCACTCTCTCCCCTCACTTTCTCTCTTTAACCCCTTCGCCCCCCCTCATAGATCTCTTCTTCTCAATCCGTTTTTCTCCACACCTATACATACAGCTGTATGTACGTAGATAGCAACAATTTTGAGATCTGCTATGCGCGTTGATTTGATTGGATCATTCGGGATTCTGGGTTTCTGCAAGGTTCGATTTAATTTTCTGATTTCGGTAAGTTTTTGTTTTGGGAAATTTCTTTTCTTTTCTGTGGTTGCTCAATATTAGCGGGGAATTGAATTAATGGGGGGGTTTTTGAGAATTTGAATTTTTACCTTTTTTGTTTCCCTTAATGTTGCGTTTGGTTCATAGCTTTTGATTTGATGAAAATTTCTTGTTTTAGTTCATTAATTGTTTGAATTCGTAGCTGCAATCCAAAATACTGGTGATTTTAGCTAAGAATCTGAAGTAAAGCTCGAATTCTGAAAATCTGTGGTTTGAATTTCTTGTATGGTTTTTCATTTATTAAACCCTATTTTTTTTTTTAAAAATAGTTGAATGCTGTTTGGAGAAGATGAACATCTTTAATCTAATTCAAATTAATGTTTGTGAAGAGTCAAAATTTCTGAATTTTGTTTAATGGAAATTTTCATTATGATGGGATATCTAGCGAAATTTTCAGAATTGTGAAATGTTTTTAGAAAGCAACACATCTTTTTTTTTTTTTAAATGTATTTATTTGTTGATTCTGATGTAGTTTGTTTAACTGTAACTCGTGTTGTTGGCTTTTTACTGCAGTTATTAGAAGGAGGAAACTTTTAGGATATCATTTCCATACCTTTTCTTTGCCTCTTTTTTGGGTTCGGTTCTGACTTATGATTCATGAACATGATTTAGCCTCTGATTTATCCTGCAAAGTCTTTGGGTGACCTATAATGCATTGGGGGAGACAGTCTGGGGACTATTGCAGACGTGTGGGAATTGGGATATGCAGATTTGCGCCTTTGTCAATCAACTATGGAAAGTGATAGGACAAGCACCACTCGTTCAGACGGAGGAAGTGATAGTCTACCTAGAGTTCGACCTGCACATGGGTAACCTCTTTAAATTTTTTGAAACATCAGATTTTTTAATTGAATTAGATTTGGCCTTTCAAGTTTGCTAGTTAGTTTGATATAACTAAGGAGTTCATTTATGTTTTCTTGCCAAAGTCTGTAGTCATGTCTGGAAATTAGTGGACCTTAGATAGCAATTTTTATTGGTAGTCAAGTTTCCATATTCATATACTTGGTGTTCATGTTGGTCATTAGTTATGTCTTCATCAAAGTGCATAAGAAATTCTATACTCATTCTCTGTATTTTGCTTTTGAACTTTTGGTCTTGCACAGAATTCTAATTTTATTTCACTTCTTTTTACCACTTCTATTGTTTGCTCTTACAATCTGTTACTGCATAAGTTTGTATGATAGAGAACTATAGAATGCAGTTTCATTATGGTCTGATGCTACTGAATGGTACTTGTAACAATGTGCAACATTTTATAGGAGGACCAGTGGTCCTACAAGGCGCTCCACAAGGGGACAATGGACTCCAGAAGAGGTAAACATTCGTTTTCTTTCATACATTAGTTATGTAGGATCAGTCTTGGTAACTTTCTGGACCGTTGTTTCTAGAAGATGCAAATATGCTTTTCTTATATTAAAGATGGCGTAAGTCCCTCATTTGCAGCTTCAAGTTGCTAGTTTAATCAATGCGATCAAAACCTTAATCATTGTGGACTACTAACAAGTTTGATGAAGTTTACCTCTTTAGTGTGCTCTATTCTGAATATCTAATAATTGCATGCCTGGAGCATATTTTTGACAGTTTTCACTCGTGTCACTGTAATTCTTCCTTCTATTCTTTGCTCATTTTTTCTGTTCTGATTGATGAATGAACACCTAGGCTGCATAATTGAAGTTATTTTTCTCCTCTGATTTCTTCAATTATGTTCTCTTTTTTCCACTTATGTGCCACTATCAGAAACTGCCAAGTTTTTCTAAGGACGGTTTGATTAGTAGCTTGTTATTGAAAATATCTGAGAGCCATTTTATGTCTTAAGATTGGCTTCCTGTATGCACAATATAGCACTTAGTATACTAAAATGGGCTCCCCACCGACAAGGCAAAGCTCTGCTTTTGCTCTACCTCCTGGGGATTATTAAGGGTGCCTTTTCTTGTTTGAGCTTTTGCTTTTGCTTCATTTGGTCTCTTTCTGAACCTTTGTGGGCTTAAAAAGAATATCCCAGAAAGAGTGAGGGTCTCTCGGGGAGAGGCTCAAGCGTCAGCCTTCGTTGACTCGCTCGAAAGAGAGAGCCAAAAACATTTTCTTATTTATGCTTTGAAGTGTTTAGCTTTTTCAGAACCTCGCCACTTGTGACTTTATGGTGGCAAGCATTGAGATTGGTGTTAAAGTCACGTGCAAGAAGCATCCCTTGCAGATTTATTATTCTTATCATTCTTGCTCCTATTTATGCGCCCACCCTTCTAACCACCGACTGTAAATGCATATTGGCATGAATAGCTTTGCTTTTTGTCAACTCCCAGTGGAAACTAGCAATGCTGTAACCATTAACCAAGTCTGGGCTTTGATGTATTTTCTTAACAACATTTTTACCTGCAGGACGAGATATTGAGACAAGCTGTACAACGTTTCAAAGGGAAAAACTGGAAAAAGATAGGTACATTGTTTCCTGTAAATTATATGAGCCTAGATGCCTAGTGCCTAAAAAGCAAAAGAAGTATGTATAAGGTGTTGCATGTTTTCCTATCCGCTATCCCATTAGATTTAGTGGGTATGCATTGGGAAATATTTGATAGAGCAGGATAATCTAGGATATTGTAAAGAAAAAGAGAAATGATTATTGATCTCTTATTGACAAGTTAAAATTCTAAATTAATTTTCTATTACCTATTCCTTCATCAACACTTTTTAACCTTTTACATAATAGAATATAATCTGCACAAGGAATGTAGAAAAACCTTTTAGATAGTATTTTATCAGGGAAAGTGGGAAACATGTTAAGAATGAAGCTTTGCTTTATGCAGCGGAATGTTTCAAGGATCGGACAGATGTGCAGTGTTTGCACAGGTGGCAGAAGGTTCTCAATCCTGAACTTGTTAAAGGTCCATGGTCTAAAGAAGTAAGATGCTGTTATTTTTGCTTCCTTGGAAAGTTGGGTTTGTTAACTGTCTAAAATCCATGTTATTCATCAACATTCTGTCAGTTTTAAAAGTTTATGATTGTCAAGTAACCGTTTCTCTAAATGCAGGAAGATGAAATAATTATTGAGTTAGTGAACAAGTATGGGCCAAAAAAATGGTCCACCATTGCACAACATTTACCTGGACGAATAGGAAAGCAGTGTCGGGAAAGGTTAGCTAGCTGCAAATATATATTAGGTTACTTCTTACTTTACCAGAATTTCTGCTTTGTGGAATGCTTTATGTCTTTCTAGAGTTAAACTAAGTTAAAAGCGAGGAAGCTGCTTTTGCCTTTTCATCTTGATTACCATGTCTCATCATGTTTCCTTCAATTTTGTATCTCTTCAAAATGGGAAAAATTTGATGTTGCTGGCTACGCATTTATGGAAGAAGCTGTATCCAGACAAATTTATGGCAGTCTTTTGGGTTCTTATGATAAAACTATTTCATTATCCTCTCCAGCCTGTGTCATTTTTTTCATTGAATTGTCCTTTTGGAGGCTATGCAAAATTTTCTCATTTCTGGTTCAGTATAACTTATTTTTAAAGGCAAAATATTGACACAAGGATTCAGTTTTGTGATAACCTGAATGTTGCTTTCTCATTACATTGAAGTACTTTTTATGTGATTAATGTGGATCATCTTTCTTAGAACTGTGGATTGGCTACTTTACCACCTTTCCTGTTTGAACTACTAGTTTTGCTTTTAGTAATTTGATCAGTCTATTTAAGTCTCTAAGAAGATAATTTCAAATAATGTGGTGGCTGTCAAGTCATCTTTTCAGTTTGGGGACCATATTTACTGATAGTAATTTGATTAGTCTATATGAGTCTCTAAGAAGGTGCTTCTAATTTCTTCTATTTACATAGTTTATTCTCTTCTTTTCATTTTATATGATAATTAGATGGCACAATCATCTTAATCCTGGGATCAATAAAGAAGCTTGGACACAAGATGAGGAACTGGCTCTTATTCGTGCTCATCAAATCTATGGAAACAAGTGGGCTGAGCTGACAAAGTTCTTGCCTGGAAGGTACTTTCTTTTACTTAGAGGGAGGGGGAGACGGAGGGGGAAATATGCATTTCAGTAGCCTTTCTGGATGTTATTGCGGAATTCGATGCTTTACCTTCTATCTAATCCATCTTGGGTTTTATGATCTTGAATTTGTTTTGTTTGCATGAGTTCACATTGAGTTTGACCTTACTGATTTTGGGACTATGTCTCTATGATTATCAGGACAGACAATGCAATTAAGAATCACTGGAATAGCTCAGTGAAAAAGAAGTTGGACTCCTATTTGGCATCAGGATTGCTTGCACAGTTCCAAGGCCTGCCAAATGCCATTCATCCAAATCAATCTGCAGCTGCTGCTTCTTCAAAGACACAGCAGAGCAGTGAAGATGATAGTGTTCCCCGAGATGGTGCAGAAATGGAGGATGTTTCACAGTGTAGTCAGGGTTCTACTGCTGTTGGATGTTCAAGCTCTACAAGTGAGATGGCCAACACAAATGTCTATGCTAGAGAAGACTGCTTTGAACATAATTTGCAAGACTGGGATCCTTCCATAGGGAAAGATTGGCAACTTACCCAGAATGAATTGCCGGACATGTCTTCATTGGATTTAGGGCAGGAAGCTTCTGGACAATTTATGCTATCTTCATCCGGGCAGTTTATCCATGAATTAGTTAACTTTCCGCTCCAAAGTTCTATGGGTTTAAGTAATTCCACTTCCATGGTAAACATGGTCTTGGGTTCTGATAAACCAGATCAATTCTTAACCACTGAAGTTGGATGTTCTAGGATTGTGTACCCTGAAGTCAGAAATGATGGTTCTTTTGCCCCTGAAAGTAGTCCAGTTAATGAAGCAACAGATTCTCTGCTATACCAAACATCAAGCTATCATGTAACTTTCCCATCTCAATCCTGCAACCCTTTGCAATCTGATGTGCTGGGAACTTCATTTGGGGAACCATTTTCAGTACCTTCACAACTGCCTTCTGACGATGGATCACTTATATTCAATATTGATCCAAATCTCTTCAATGATTCTTCAGTCGGAAACTCAGAAAAGGAGTGTTTTACAGGTAGATATGATGGCTTTATCTATAGCAATGACTCTGGTGGTTCTACTAATAATCATACTGAATTTGGGATGCTAGTTCAACCAGTGGAGGGAAAGGATTCTGCAAAACTTGTTCCTGTTAATGATTTTGGCTTAACACCACCAAAGGACATTCAGACTTCTCCACCTGTGGAAGAACACCCTGTCATATCTGATGAACAGAAGGATTCAGGCGCTTTGTTTTATGAACCCCCACGCTTTCCAAGCCTGGATGTCCCATTCTTTAGTTGTGATCTCATTCAGTCTGGTAATGATATGCAGCAGGAGTACAGCCCTCTTGGTATCCGCCAGCTCATGATGTCTTCTGTGAATTGTCTTACTCCATTTAGGTTGTGGGATTCACCATCAGGGGATGATAGTCCAGATGCTGTTCTCAGAAGTGCAGCGAAAACATTCACGTGCACACCATCCATATTGAAGAAGCGGCATCGTGATTTGGTTTCACCCTTGTCAGAAAAGAGGTGTGAGAAGAAGCTGGAAAGCGATGTAAATCAGGAGTCATTCTCTACCTTGACCAGAGACTTTTCTCGACTAGATGTTATGTTTGATGAAACCCAGAATGAAAACCAGTCGATGCTTTCTCCAACAAACCAAGGAAGCAATTGTGAAATGTTGTTAACTGAGGATAAAGAAAACTTAGTTCCTGCCACCACAGAGGGAGACAAAGAGGATGTAAAGGTTGATTCTCCATCTTCGGCAAATATAGTTTTGGAGAAACATACCAATGCTAATTTTCCTCTAGACAAGGTGAGGCAACAGACTGGTGCAATAGATAGTAAAAGTCTTAACAAAATCACATGCACTTATTGAAACTGTGAGAATTGAGTTCTTTCTAAGTTTTGTAACATTTCTTTCAGGTGAGTTTGTTCCATTAGTGTAGGCTGAAAATGACACCCACCTAATTTTGACCCTTATCTAATATAGCATTTAGCAGATTGTAAATATTTGGATCTTTAGTTTGTTAGACAAATGATTTCAGTCAAGGGGTGGTCAGTCACCATTTGTACTCTTAACCTTCAAATTAAACTCTTGTTAAAATTGGTTTCAGATGAACCCCTTCTTTTCAGGCTAGCTGGTTTTAGGAAATAGCGCATATATTCTAGCTGATGTGCCATATTCAGGAATTGACTTAATTATTCTTTATACATAACTTTTAATTTTTTCTTAATTTTATTTCCTTTTTCCTCTTTTTACCCCTTTTTTCTTTTCTGTTATTCAGATGAACCAGCCTTCTGGTGTCCTTGTTGAACATGACATGAACGATTCTTTATTCTTCTCTCCTGACCGATGTGGAACAACAAGTGATAAAGCATTTGGTCTGAGTGCTAAAGCATGTGGTAACAAGTACTCTGGAAGACTAGATGCTGGATTGCACAAAGGAGCAGCTTCATCAGAGACTCGATGTTTGTCTATTGTTTGTTCACCTCGGATATCTGGAAAGAAGGATGGTCTTAATGTGGTCACCACTGCATCAATGCAAGTAGCTTCCTCATCAACCCCGATGGGGAAGAAGGTTGAAACTTCAGGGAACATTTGTGGTGTTGAAAACATTAGCATGTACGGTGACTGCAGCTTTTTACTTCTGAATCACTTCAGTTTCTTTTATTAGCCTTCTGTACAATTAGCTGCACCTGATTAGTAGTTTTGTTTTCTTTTTTTTTTTCCTTGTAGATTTGGAGAAACACCTTTTAGAAGAAGTATAGAATCTCCTTCTGCCTGGAAGTCCCCGTGGTTCTTTAATACTTTTCTGCCAGGCCCAAGAGTTGATACAGACATCACAATTGAGGTACTAAACATTCTGAGAGATAGTTGTTTTGCACCTTTGAGTGGGTGCTTTTAGCTGTTTCTTTTTTGAGTTTGATTGTGATGGCTGAAATATTACAGGATATTGAGTATCTTATGAGCCCTGGCGACAGAAGCTACGATGCTCTTGGGTTGATGAAGCAGTTGAGTGAGCATACTGCTTCAGCATTTGCAAATGCACAGGAAGTTTTGGGGGATGAAACTCCTGAAACCATACTGAAAAAAAGCAGCAAAATCCTGAATGCTGATAAACAGCAGAATGACCTTTTGAAATGTCAACAGGAGCATCATTCAACCGTGGGATCAAATGTCATGGTATGGTTAAATTCCAATATTGCTGATGAAATTATCCCTTAAAAAAAAGGTGTGGTTTAAGAAAGTTGAAAGCATCTACCAACTTTTGAGTTTTTTGTCCACTCCACCACAAAATAAAACTATCCTAAGCTGGAGCCTCTGCTCTGTATAATCCATCTTCAGATTTCTGCTTCAGCTGTCTTGGTATTCTCTATTACATTTTGGTCAGATACAAGAAGCACACTTGTCTTTACTGCATGCCGCCTCTAGATTCAACAGGAGCATGGATAGTACACTGTTATTTGTCCATTTCAAAAGCTTATATTGTATACACTGGCATTTGCAGACGGAGTGCCGAACACTCGATTTTAGTGAATGTGGGACACCTGCAAAAGGAGCGGAGACTGGGAAATTGTCAACAGGTGTTAGCTTCTCAAGTCCCTCTTCGTATCTGTTGAAAGGTTGCAGGTAATGGTAGCACTTGCAGGTTCCTGCAGAAGTGTATAGTGGCATTTGCTGACAGAGTGGAGAGCTCTTGATTTTAGTGCTGTGAGACACCTGGAAAAGGAGCAGAAACTGGGAAATTGTCGATAGCCATTATATTCTCAAGTCCTCTTTGTATCTGTTGAAAGGTTGCAGGTAGCAGCAGCAGCTGGCAGGTTGTTACAGCAGTGCTTGCTGGTGTATAAAAATGAAAGATGTACACAGTCGTGATTCTACCATTCTATATAGTTCCTAGAACCATATCTTGTTAAGATTAATGTATTTTGTGAAATCAATTGTTAAAGAATGTTCTTTGGCGTCCAATAAACAATGCTTGCACTTGAGTTATATGGACAAACTTCATCGTGAATAGGGACAACAAACAGATATTGCTTTGTCTCTTCCAGTTCTATTTTGGGGCTTGTCTGCCTGTGGTAATGTCAGGTTTCAGCTACAAATTGTCTGTCCTTATATTGCCTTGTCCATTGTGTCCCTTGCCATATTTGCAGCGGTCGAAACAAATCCTAACGTGGCTGCTTGCCTCTGTCCAAGTGTTGGTTCGGTTTCTAACTCCAGTTAGAAAAGCCTAACATTGCCGCACATCAGTAAATATCACCCAGTTTTTTTTTTCCCTTTTTTTGCTAGACACAATCTTTATATTCATTTTGGTTGGTTCCAAAATGTTTGTCACTTGCCACAAATGATTGTGTACTTTATCAATAATTTCCAAAGCTTACCCCTGTCTCACCTAACTAAAAAGTACCCAAAAAGTCTTCTACCAAAACTTGCAACTTTGTTATTCAGTTGATTGAGATGCACGTACTACTAACCATTTTGAAATGATTGCCTTTTCGTGTTTTCACACTCTAATTCTAGCTAGAATAAGTCATGTGAACCAATAAATATATGGACTCTGCTGTCATGTTTTGTCCATCTATTATCCATCTTTTTGTGTTCAAATGAAGGGCAAAATGGAAAGTGTGATGAATTCTTCAAAAATTAGACACTTGTTGATAATAAGTTGTCACTTTTCGGGACGGAGGGAATAATTAATTATAGTAACAGTTGAAGTTTAATTAAATAGCATGCTTAAAAAACAAAAAAGGAAAATGATTCTTTATAAATACGTGAAAGGCAAACACCAAGATCCACAAAGGGAAGTAAAAGGATTTGCTAGAGCTTACTCTCTTTAGCAAAAGAAGTTGTGATTAAAACTGTCAGTTATATTATATTATGTTTGTCTTTAAAAATAAAACTAATGAAAAGAAGTTTCTTAAGTTGAGATGGACTTGTGTAGAAAAACAGTCAAATAACAAGCTCAGTCATACTCTTAAGAAAACAGCAGCACAAAGATCTTCGTCAACTTCTGTGATAGGAAAAAATTGGCCTCAGATGCCATTTCATTTGATTGTAATATGTAAAGTAGATAGGATTAATTAAAATTATAAATGATGAATTCAAGTTATATACTACCCTTGTGACATATAGATGCGACATATAGATACTAGATGAATCTTGTAGAAACAAGTTTTTTAAAAGATAGAAAAATAATGTTAGTCATTGTTTGGCAAAATTTGACACGCAACTCATTTAAGAATGTTTTGTGAAAATTACACTGTATATTATGACTAGCAAGAGAGGTACAAAATATTCCTGGAGACTCGACGCATTATTTATAAATGCTTTGTAAAGGCTAATTTTATGTCGACGGAGAAAACAGGCGAGGCTTTCACACAACACAAAAGAAAAGAGAACAAAAAAGATCCCCTTTGGCCATTGCAACATGACGTCATCCTAAGCAAGGGACCAACCTGTAGAGGACTTGAAGCTGCCAACTTTGGTGGAAAGTTAATTTCTTCGAAATTGTTGGACTTTCAGTGCAATATGGTCTATGGCTATGTTGCACATTCAAGAAGGTGAAAGATCTAGGAAAGCTTAATCATAGAATTTGTTATGGGGGTTTTATTTTTGTGGGGTCTTGGGGGGGGGGGGGGGTTCTTGTTTTCCTAAATTCTTGAACTTGTCCGACTGTAACGTTTATAAATTACAGCTGCAATCAATCCAATGGAATTTTGCTGATCTAGTAAATGTAAAAAATACTAGCTTTGATTCATATGTAGCCATTCGAGATATCTGAAGATCTCTGCTTGAATTTGCTAAAGAATTTCTAGTAAATGTAAAACACCAATATTGATTATAAGTAACCCAAAAAGAAAATGAGAAAAAGTTTTTATCTTTCATCCAGATGATGAGAAAAAAATTTAACTTTCATCCGGAAGGAGCCATTCGAGAAATATCATCCCTGCTTCAATTTGCTAGAAAATCTAGCTGAAGTATAGGCCGCAATTTCAGTCCCCAAGAAAGGGCTTGAGACCAAATATGGAACGTGTTAAAAGACGCTACATGTCCAGTCACTTTCCAAGCATGTACTTAATTCTCTTTGCCAGATTGTTTTCCAGGGATTTTCATCTGGTTGAAACTTTCACTGAATATGGTAAGCAAACAAACACCACAGAAGCTGCACATCAAGAAAACAACTATGCCATTGCAATTTTATCGCCCAAAAATCGGTTTGAGTTATGAATACTGAAGACTTTTTTTTTTCTTAATCAAAAACTGAGTCAGACTATTACTCTTTAATTTCTGACGTTCTTGGGGTTATTATTATTACAACAAAATGGGGTTTACATGGTAACTTAAGGGGAAGGATGCTCAATATAGACGGATGGTAACCACTCTTTCAGGCAACTTTTGTAACTGCAGCATGTATTGCATCTGTAAGATGTGGAACTGTTCTTGAGCTCAGACCAGCCATGCTAATTCGCCTGCACAGTCAAGAAATGCGATGTTACGAGATGAAGATCTAGACTGCCTAACGAGACTAAGTCGATGTCTCAAAGATCGAAGAAGCACAAATGAAATGTCAATGAAAAGCAAGAAATATCATTAGAGGTTGAGCAGAATGTTGCTAAAAACTATGGTTTAACCTTCAATAACTCCTTGTTTGACAAGGAATTAGCAAAATAAGAAGGGAAGCTAAAAAGATCTACCTGTCTGAATGACCTTAAACATGTTTATAAATAATGAAATGCTTACATAGAACAAAACATGCCATGGGATGGCATTGTTCTTTTCCCATGAGAGAAGTTTTGAACTTTTACTTTCACTCTTCTACTTTTTCAGGTACTAGAAGGAATATGTTTTGAGTCCCAAAAGTGAGATTGTTACCCGTCAGATGTCATGTAAATGTGGTATTCTTTCCTCATGAAGGTGACCTGCTCGGAGTTAAGTCCAGTGAAGGTGAACATTCCAATTTGCTTGATAATGTGACTCCAGTCACCAGGGGTTCCTGCGAAGTAAGGTAATGCATAGTTATGCATCTTTTCATTGAAGAATGCAAATAATCTATATCATAACTCAAACAAGTGTAAAGACAAACAAATCTCCTGGAAAATTTTATAGAATTGGAGAAAAGCCCCCAGTCTGCTAATACAGTAGGCAGCATTGTTTTTAAAGCCATTCCAAATGCACCAGACAAAAAGCTAAAATTCTTGAAAAACAGAGTCATTTACAGAGTCCCGTAGTGGTTATTTTATATCAATTATGTGGAAGAACACGAACAACTGGGTCAGTGACACTGTTTAATAATTAAATGATCCTATTGCTCCATGGACTACAGTTTCAAGAAAATGCATGCAATAGTTGCAAATGAAAGAATGCAGACTGTATCAGATGTTTGCATTGACGAGCTGCATTCCGTCATTGTCTTCACAAACAGATTCAAACACTGTATATGTCAGGGGCAGACAAAGAGGTTGTAGATTACGATCATCCACTAAAAACTCAGATATTATTTGTTACAATAACAACTTCCATCTATTTGTATAACATTTTTTCTCCTCTTTAGAAATCTAGATTTATTAGTGACACATTAAATAAGGTTATACGCCTAAATCTTTGAACCAGAGCAGTAAACAAATCATAGGTAGGAAGAGAAAATCTAAAGTAAGGAGAGAAATGTATAGAATGCAATTGGCAGCAAGATATAAAAGGGCAAACCAAGGCACTACCAAGCAAATATAATATATTTACCTCTAGCACGTAAAGCATCAAATAATTGCTGGCGCATGCTGATAATGCGGTCTGCCATTGCTTTCAGCTCTAGCGTCCACTCATGGAACATGTTTCTGCAATCATAAAACTGAGCCTTTGAGAAATATCTAGAGGAATTTTCATACAAAAGTAAAAACTTTCTCCAGGAAATCTTTTAAGTTGGTAAGACACGGGACTAATCAGTACCTTAATGGCCTGCATCTAACAAATGCATGCTTTCCCTAGTATAAGAGAATGCTAAATGCATATCAAACAATTACCCTACCATAATAATAATTATTTCCAAGAAATATTTCTGATTGGTGAGACATTAAATTATTAAGCACTTTTTGCTTCTAATTGATCCATATTAGCCTGTCATAGAGTAGACCAGATGCATACAAACAATATGCTACCTGTCCTTGAGTATTGTTGCCACAATAGATGCACCATGTATTGGGGGGTTTGAATACATTGGCCTAATCACCAATTTTAACTGGCTCTCAACTCTGCTTGCCACATCGGCTGCCCGGCACACCTGTAGATTTTCATATTTTAAGCAGTCACGTACAGGAATCTAACAATACAGATGGATGATGTGCTAATTTTAGAAAAAGAATGATACTTTGAACTCGCACTAGGATCTATAGCCATTATGTTCTAGCAATCAAAGGAAATACACTTCCAATGCAAAGTCAGATCAGACTTACAATGCTCAGTGCACCAACACGTTCACCATAAAGGCCCATGTTCTTTGCATAACTTTGAGCTACCAGGCATTCACCGCCATCAGCAACAAACATACGAACAGATTGTGCATCTGCATCCAGGCTTCCACTTGCGAAACCCTGAAATGTTCAACACGTATACATTTCAGACAATTACAAATGATGCCTAACAAAACACCTTTTTTGGACACCAATGTCATGAACTTGTGTGTCTAATATGATTTTACGTTTAGGCACGAGATATAGCCAACCTGATAAGCACTATCAAAGAAAGGTAAGAGTGCTTTAGATCTCATCAATTGTCTGATTTGTTCCCATTGCTGAGGAGTAGGATCCACACCAGTTGGATTATGAGCACATGCATGCAGAAGTACAATAGCCCCTGATGGAGCAGATTGAAGGTCTTCCAACAACCCTATTAGTTAACAAAAAGGATACTTTAAACTTTTGAACAAGGAGGCAGATGCAAATACAGGTATGAAAAGTGGTACATGTTTCATGGGTTTATTATCAGCAAACTCAGCACTATGATGCTGTCCTCAGAGAATTTCAACTAGTTTACATGAATCCTAACTCTCTAT